TTCCCTTTATTACAACACCCGTGGAAGACATACAGTGGTATTAGTCATACTTACACAATCCTCAAAGCTGAACGTGATACAACTGGGAATATAGATATTCAACACCTAACACGCGAAGAAGGTCACTAAAGTTGAAGGAGAGAATATTCATGTATGCAATCAGATGTAATGGCTCAGCCACACAGACGAGGTCATTCTGTATTACTGGTCCTTATTTACGTTAAATATATAACCATATCTTCAGCTTAAATGTGTCCTTCAGAACTATTAAGCATCATATTGTTAATTATTACGATACGATGAGTCAGTATAAACCTCCAAGTAAGATCATGTGGATTAGTTAGTTATATCATGACAAATCTATACTTTTAGGATTGGGTCTATTATTATAGTACTCATAACGAAGTAGATCATTATTCTACAGAGAGGTTACATGTCAATGAAATCATGATACCTACTAAACACCAACCATTCCTAATAAACCTTCACATTTTATGCGTTTAACACATATATTATGTGTATCTGATTAGAATTTCTCACAAATTGAGGACAATATACTGCAGATTCAACATTTATATCAGGTAATTTCTCTCATTTCGAAGACAAATCTGACCAAAATTATGGTAGAATGGGAAAAACATTTCTCTTTTCAATATGGAAAGAGTTTAGTCTTTTTTCCTATAGGTACTGAAAGAAAAGAAATATGAGTAAAGAGTAGCTTTTGGCACAGATAACATAAACATAAAAACCAACACTAAATCTAAAAGAAGGGGGAGAGTTATAAATCCAAGGCTAGATTCCTTCATCTTTTTCACTACTTAGAATGATGTGAGACTGACAGGCAAAAGACTCTTCGATTAATAGATGTAATAGTGTAGCATCCTCGGGTAGATGGCTAGATCATACAAGCAACAACATTCTAGAGAATGGGCCGTCTTCACCAAGTGCGCTGGTGAATTTCGTAAAAAAGCGAAGGCAGCTTCCATTATCACGGAAGCGAATATTCAGTGCTCTCAATAAAAAGATAGAATCAGAAATGTCGTAGTTAGTGTAGTTGATATACAATAAAAAAGTATCTATGTCAGAGTTACTAACGTAATCCCAAAATTAACTTGGATTACTATCAAGCAAAATTATGCGGAAAGTATAAATCTTATTGTCGAAATTCCCTTTTATCAGAAAACATAACAGATGCATCAAATGGTCAGAAATCTAATACAATTTCGATAGATGCTGTTTATTTTAGTGATCTGTAGTGACTCACGTTTATCACGAGAACACGACTGGTTTAATAAAAACAATTATTATTATAGCCAAGTGTACCAGTGACTGTTTTAATGTGCTTTTGTTTGACTGTGCTAATGACAGCTATTTTGTGCTTCCATTCTTATACTTACACTTTGATTGTAACTTCGCGCGAATTCGGTTACGTTCTGTAACCAAGCTTGTATCCTGGCACGATCTCGGTATCCTTTCGATGCCACGAGATCGCCAGCAAATAAACCTCGACTTGGTCCATTAATTGCCTTCTGATATTTGGCTTCTCGGGGATTTTATGGAGTCATTTGGAATGAGCTTCTTACGCCTTCTGATCTAATTGGCACGTGTTTCTTGGTAGCGGTGTTCATAGTTAATCTCAACTCGACGCCACGCTACAATTGGTAATCCCAATACGAATACAATTGGTAATCCCAATTCGACTGCAATTGGTGACCTGTATTTTGGAACACGCCTCAGCTTCTGGTCAAATCTTCCAAAGAAGCCAATTCGGTGAGTCTATGGTTTATCTATCCACGTCTGTCGTATATTTTCATATTATTTAATATATAATATACGCGACATGACGGATAACGATAAGAATAGTATTAATATAATAGACTCACACGTATGTGTACCGAATCCTTGTCACTTTTTATTCGCGTGATGATGAATTCCACGCTTTATTCGAGAAATGTTACTCTATTAACGATTCTCCTCGCTGACCCGGCTGCTTGGTATGGAATGCATACGCATAAGCATATCCGTCTACCACCCAGCACCGAATGGTTAAGTTGAACGGTTTCACTGCCAACTTAAAAGTGTTCTACGAGCACACGAAAACGGCGACTGGCACGAAACCTTACCGCTCGTTCTTTTAGGGGGAGAACGAGCTTAAAGGCAGATATCCAATGTTCCGCCACTGAACTTGTATACGGCACGACATTGCGTCTGCCCGGAGAATCCTTCACACCACGGAGCAGACCTAGTTTCGGTAAATCAGACAACGTCCGTCGACTGTCTGCATTTATGTGAACGCTGTCTCCGGTGTCAACTCGAATACAACATCGACAGGTCGCTCTCCCTCGAGAGTTATCTACCTGTTCACATGTTTTTGTACGAGTAGATTCGGTACGCAAACCTTGGCAACAACCTTACGAAGGCCCTTTTCACGTGATCGCTCGTCACGAAAAGACCTTCAAGGTTGATCGACATGGACGCGTCGAGATCGTCAGCGTTGATCGTCTCAAACCAGCACACGTCGATGACAGTGCCCTATCTGGTAACCTGAGATTCAATGCTAGACCTATTAAACCTAGCGGGATCCTTAAATCTCCAGGTCCCACGCTAGATGCATCTGAGACCTCATTCTCACGTCCCGGTCAACAGCACGCGTCATCTGCACCGTCTACGGACGAGACGATAGTCTCACGTCCAGATCAGCAGACCACGCCGCCTCTGACCTCGGATGAGATTGCAGGCTCACGCGACGCGAACGAGACTGCCGTCTCACGTTCCGGTCGCCGAGTACGGTTACCCGTACGCTTCCGCGAATAGTCGCACAGTCAGCAACCGATACGGTGTAGGATTATTCCTATACTACACGTATGCTACACTCTTCTTTTTTGATTTTCTTTTTGTTTCCTGAGCCCACGCCTTCGACCATCTCCGTTTGGTTCCGTCGACTTCAGTCAACTTTGGCGAAAGCTGGATTGGCCACCCACGCTCTTGTCAACGTTTTCAGTCGATATATTGGTTTCGTATGCTTGGCATACGCTTGGTCTCGAACTTGGTCGTTATGGTCGCTTCTGGTCTTTTGGCTCAACGTGGTTTCGTCCTTCGTCTGCAGCGTTTATGGTCCGGACCCGTACGAACGCCCTCTTCAGATTCTGGATACAAACCACTCTGGTGTAGCATGCCAACTCGAGCAATCAATACAACACATCGCTCCTGGTACTGTTCTCCGAAAACGACCTTCGTTGGCAACTCGACGATCAACGATCGCTTTCCTGTTCGCCAATTCTTCCGTCCTACAATCGCTCGTCAGCCGATCAGTCCCACGATTCAAACCGCTATTTATCGAAAGTGTAAACCCTTTCTAGCGGGGGGCTCCTGTAGTGACTCACGTTTATCACGAGAACACGACTGGTTTAATAAAAACAATTATTATTATAGCCAAGTGTACCAGTGACTGTTTTAATGTGCTTTTGTTTGACTGTGCTAATGACAGCTATTTTGTGCTTCCATTCTTTACTTACACTTTGATTGTAACTTCGCGCGAATTCGGTTACGTTCTGTAACCAAGCTTGTATCCTGGCACGATCTCGGTATCCTTTCGATGCCACGAGATCGCCAGCAAATAAACCTCGACTTGGTCCATTAATTGCCTTCTGATATTTGGCTTCTCGGGGATTTTATGGAGTCATTTGGAATGAGCTTCTTACGCCTTCTGATCTAATTGGCACGTGTTTCTTGGTAGCGGTGTTCATAGTTAATCTCAACTCGACGCCACGCTACAATTGGTAATCCCAATACGAATACAATTGGTAATCCCAATTCGACTACAGATCTATTATCCACTAATTTAATTTTGAAGAAGTCTGATAAATATGTTTCACAAGAATCAAACCTTAATGACCTCATATCTAGTGTCGCTGATCCTCATCATTTAGTCAGTTCTAGTGGACCCTCTACTCAATGCGGGAAATATGCTTTAAACAGAATCAGACTAACTGTTTCTTGGGTATATGAGGACCCAACATTATTTCGCGGGGGAGGACGAACGCAAAAAATTTTAAAATCCGGATATCAACTCCGGATCTTCAAACATAAGGGAGGTGTCAGGGATGCAGAGGAATATACCAATCATTATCATGTTAAGTGTAATGATGTCCTTGGACCTTAAATGGACATTTATTATTGGCCATTATTTATTTCACTCGTTAAATATTGTACAGATGTTGTTTTATATTTTTATGGTACGATGTGGTTTGTTTGTTTGGTATATGAATAGAGAATGTCTGAAATACAATGACCCATATCTCTGAGGCTGTGACTTGTGTTCTGGACTCAACTGGCTGGTTTAGGCAGCAAAGCAGGGCCAATCGAGACTCTAGGTCATCCGTACGTGTTTTACGTGTCACCGAATCGATCAATAAAACGCTGCGTATCAAATCTGCAATCCACCCGTTACAACAAGATCAATAGTATTATTAATATGTACCAGTTAAGTGTTACAAATACAATAAAAATTGGGACTTTACTTAAGTTCACCAAATTGATGCATGTTCAACTTTAGTCTGGTACAGTAAATCCACGATTATAAAAGGTTGGTAATTCCAATCGTGTTGACGAACTCTCCAGTAGTGTAATCCAATATAAGATATGGTATATACCCACTCACAGTCTATAAATGTAAGTAATATTTGATTTAAATTTCAGTTAACTCAATCACGAACGAAAATAGAACGAGGGATGTGTGTGTAGCAATGTATTTGTTAACAAGCCACAGTATGTCACTCTATGTAGTTATACAACGCAAAGTGTCTCCAAGGTCATTCACTTAAACAACACGTACAGTCATTTAATGACAAATGTACATACAGTGAGAAGTTGACAAAATAAATACAAATAACACTAAAAACTATTTACAAAACAGGCTTGTCAGGCCTATCTCCACGGACCACCTATTCTTGAAGATTGGTATTGTACTTTGAATAAACTTTGGTTTGTTTGGAACTATCAGTTGGAAGGTCTCCAAAGCAGATATTCAATGAACGGGACTGTCTGTTTGGGAATGTTTGTCATTTATGTGTTATTTTTATATGGGACTGGAGTAGTTTGTTCCAATTTATGTCCAAGACAGTGTTTGCCGGGATCCTGTTGCGAAGTTGAAGAAAATGATTTCAGATGCTGTCCTTATGCTAATGTATGTTTCAAATGATGTATAATATTCTCATATAACTTCTCAGGGTGTATGTTGTAGTGATGGGAAAAACTGCTGTCCTCAAGGGACAAAGTGTGATTTGGAACTCGGTCATTGTCGTTCTCCTAATGGGACTGTGTTACTCTCCAAATATATATCAGAGGTGAATGTTCTTTTTTTGCATTTTGTTCCAATATGACATGTAAGTGTGTAAGGGAATCTCTTTACTTTTCTGAATCGTTATTGGCATTTAGATAGGGTTCGTTTCTCCCCAAGTATTTTATCCTGAAGTTCGCTATTTAGAAAGTTGAAGCGATCTTGACACAAGTCTTCTTATGAAGACAAGGCATTTAAATTTCTGTACTCCTAAAGTTTGGCTGCCTTTTTCACAGGGTATTAGCTTGACAATATTTTAATAGGCCGAGACCTAACGATCGTGAGGTTTGTGCTGAGATTTTCTCATTTAATGATTTTGTTGGGATGCAAAGTAACATATGGCTACTCTTACTTTCACTAAGTTTGATACGTAAAATGAAATAATCAGTCCCCCCCAAACATTAAATACAACAGAAACAAATATTTAACTTTTCTTATGATAATTAGGGTCTACATCGACTAATCTCCATCTTGATGTTGTTCGGCAACTTTGGTCAACATATTTGGGTTATATTTTGGTTATAACTGACTGAGCGACTTTTTAGTGGCATAGTGTTATCATCAGACTTTCAGGTTCCACTTCTTAAATATGAGCAGGATGCCTTTAATCCGCATCGTGTTCAATCGAGTTGTTTCACATTTTGTGCACAGTATTACATAATGTATGTGGGTATGTGCAAAGTAAAAATCCTGTGGACTTGAGACCCAAGTTTCTTTGTAACATGTATCCTAGTGACATAAGGTCAAAGACTCAAAACATTAAGCCAACATCGCTCTGTATGCTTGGATTAGACTAATAGTAATGTAAACCAATTATAGTTCACTTAAGGATGCCTAGATATTATTCCAAGCTAATAGACTATGTGATATATCACAGTAATTTTTTATTTGCTAAACGACCTAGTCTCTTTTGAATTTATTTCGGCTTAAAATCAGTAAAATACCGCATCACACAATTGTAATTCGTAGGAATACTCTGTAAACGGATCTTTACTGTATTATTGGGCAAAATCTCCAATTATGTAGTAGTGCTATGCGAGTATTCAGTGACCGTAACCAGTTCTGATTCTTATCATCCATTCCGGAAAATTCTTGTGTAAATGTTCAGATCGCTGAGTAAATATCAATGCAATTAAAAAAATATATCGTTGGTATTTGTTAATTTTTATTACTTATGGTGTCGATGAGTCCAAGTTCTGTAGTCCTATATTGCCCCCAAATGCCCTGGTACGGTCGAGAGTGGGGAGAGTCCGCTCTCCCTCGCGAAATGCTCTCACATGGCCACCCATATATAGCCTCTGCCAGGGAAGTCCTACTCACTGCCTTCTCGCACTACGGGTGTTGTTTACGAAATTGAGAGGACGGAAAGCGAATGTCTGGCACTTTAACCGGGTTGGTGGACACGGAGAGTTGGAAAACCCTCATTCCAAACCAATGGTGCACATTGACTTCAGTATGCTGAAGGAACAAATGGCGTATGAACCAATTGTTGGTCATTGGCTACCATGGGACTGCATCTCCTTACGATGCTCCACTGCCTTGTGGATCAGACCTTCAAGTAGAAGGCTCCGGGTGTGGCCTCCTATGGAAACTACTTGCTTCGGTTTGGGCACCCGGGCAGTATCACATCCCTCACATATATCAATTGAGATATGTGTGGCGCATATGTATTTGGTGCCTCCTTGTACCAATATGTGTTAAAATAAAATAAAAACGTTGTGATACGTTAGCACTAAAAAACCTGATTAAAATACGAGATGAGTCTACACTTATTCTTAAGATTTGTCTCAAAGAAGTAAGCGTAAATTCTTAGGTGAGATTAAAGTTACTTCCTACGCAGCTGTCAACTACCGAGTTCACTTCGAGTTCACTAGAAAGATAAACGATTAAAAATGAGTCAAGATGTTCAGGCAGGGAGAAAGAATTAGTTTGTAGAAAGCGAGACATAAGTTAAGACTGTACACGCGCCATTGTGATAGATTATGAGCCAAGTCATCCAGTCTCTAACCACCGGTTACAATAGTCGCGCGGACCCCAACCAAGTAATCTGCATCTACTAAAACGGCTCAGATCAGAAGTTAGTGAAATGATGCCAATTTTTGGTTTCGCCACCCCTAACTTCCTTCCAACTATCTCCAACACTAGTCAGCGTTGAGCGCCATAGTATCCGTTTGTCGGGCATGCGTAACACGTGGTCCAACCATCTCAGTCGATGAAGCTTCCTAACCTTATCAACTGGTTTGTCATCATCACTCCCTAATACTCTTCATCCAACCTCATCAAAACAGGACTATCATCTGCACATTCTAAGTCGATAAGTGGACCTCGTGGAAGGAAACCAATTCCTGGAAATTCAGACGACGAGAGCGTTATTTCCAACAGTAGGTCTAGGATGAAATTTAAAAAATTGAGGTAGTGGACAGTCTCACAGGACATCACTTGAGGTTACGAAATCAGATGACAGTTCATCGTAAGCTCTGAATCAACTGGTAGTGTTCGAGTGGAGCCTCCATAGGTTTATGTACTTCTGAGGTACACCTTTCAATGACTGTAGTATATCTAATAATCATTGTCATTGTATGGCGCATATATATCTGGTGTCCCCTTGTACCAATATGTGTTCAAATAAATAAATAAATAAATAAATAATGACATACACTGCCACAGAACCTCTCGATCTACAGAGTCAAATGCTGCTTTTAAGTCAAGAAAGACCACCATTGTCGGACGCCGATAAGTATGCCTGTGTTCTAGAACCTGAAAAATGGTGAATATGTGGTCGATGCAGCCACAACCAGGTCTGAAGTCAGCTTGATTTTCTCGTGTTTGCAGTTCACGAGTCTTAGGCGTCTGATAATTATCGAGGCTCGTATTTTAGATACTATATCATTTAAACTAATCCCTCTATGGTTGTTACAGGACGATTTTTACCCCTTCTTATGTAATGGGACGATAAGTGATTGTGACCAGTCAGATAGGATAACGTCCAATTTCCAGATTTTAGCTAAAATATTAGTCAACCTAATCGCTAAAACTGGACCATCATCCTTAAAGACTTTTGGAGTTAATCCATCTGGACCAGCTACTCTTCCTCGTTTCAGATTGGTTATAACTTTTTGAAATTTAATTAAATTCGGAGTGTCTATTTCAATGTTCCATTCAGACTGTTTAAAAATGGTGGATAGTTGTAGTTGTAGAGTATCTGAAGACCAGGTGAACTGCTTCTTAAAGTGTTCCTCCCATCGTTCTAACCGTCTGAACTGAGAGCAGATAGGAGTGTGGTCCTTTTTTCGAAATCGTCTCATTTACACTTAACTTTTTAATTCCGGTTTAATTTTATTAGTCTGAAAAGCTGTACAGTGTTACGTGAAGACACTGTCTTTTCCATCTGTTTTGCTTTCGTTGCTCACCACTGCTCACTATTGTTCTGTAACTTTTGGTTTAGGTAGATGTGATTTGTTTTCGCTCTTCATCGTGCTTGGAGCATGATGGGTGATGAGTTTACGTGAATCTACGCGTTCAATGGACTTAGAAATGCACTGATTTTTCGTAACCCTTTGATTCAAATCACTAGTAGATGTGGGTGCTGTTTCTACAACTGATTGTATATCTTTTCAAGCAACATCTGGGTCAGCCTGGTGCGACCTCAGTTGTTCATGGAATTTACCTTTGGCTTTCTCATCGCTGAGTTTCACTCTAATGGGTCTTAATGTGGTTTTTCTGCGTTCAGTGAGGTGAAAGCAAATGCGTGTTCGTGTTAGAGCATGATCAGAGTTCAAATATGTGTTACAGAACGAGCAACAGTCTTCTATCGAGCCTCTCCAACTATGACTGATTGGGATATGGTGTATTTGAGTCCATCGTTTGTTTGGTACAAGGGTCGCCATTTTAGATGATGTCTCTCCTTAGGCTTAAAAATAGTGTTTGCTAAAAATAAATGATTTTCTGAGCACAGTTTCAGAAGACGATCACCATTATCTGTTCTCTGTGACGGAATACTAAACCACCCACTTAAATGTCTCTCTTTGGTTTAAGCTACCTACTTGGTCATTAAATTCACCTATGAGTACCATGAGTGTTCAGCTTTTTGAAGCAGTTCAGTAAGCCTACTGAAACATTTATTTTTTACTTCATCAGGGCCGCAGTCCGTGCGAGCGTAGGCAGAAACGACGTAAAAGCAACGATATGTGTCACTATCCTTCCGAGTTTTTAAGAAACCGCTTAACCGAATAGCATATAGGCGACTGTTAACGGTAATCCACTCTAGTAGTGCTTGTTCTGCCCTCATACTTATTGCTATGCCTGCACCCACTAGTTCACAAGAACTAATCATCGGGTCGATAAATAAATGGAGGGTGTATCTCGTTGTCTCCCTCGTTTTGGCAAGGTGAGTTCGAGTGAATGATCACACTAGGATCCTGTATGCGTGTTTCGTAGACGCAGCGTACATCAATGTTACGGGATGTTAGAGTTTTAGCCAAGGAGGCCTGCTGACCGATTTGACATAGGGTATGTACGTTAAATGCTCTAATGTGTAGTTTAGTGCGGCGTTTCAACACACCTAGGAAAGTATTTCGCGCACTAAAATCGTTGCCCATGGTTACCCTTGAAGAGGAAGTTTAGAGTTAAAAGTCGAGGCAGGAGGAATAATAGGAATTAAAGAGGGAGATTGATTATGAAAACATTGGTTTAGAGTACTGTTAGAGGTACTGGGACGGTTATTACTTCCTGGTTGCCCACACCGTGGAAGGGTTCTTCTAGATGTAACTGAAAAGGAAATCGGGTTAGAGTTAGTCACACCTCTGTGCAATCAGAAGTATGATTTCGCCCTCTGGTCTTGGGTTTGCTGCTTTCAGTCTTACCACTCTTCAGCCGACCTGTCTGGCATGATAGGACCTTGAAGAACAATTGTTCCAGCCAGTATAGCTCGATTGCATCATCACGATAGACAAGCCCGACCTTCACGGTAGGGACTGCGCATAATGTGTGGAGGGTGGTTCTTCATCTATATCTCGTTTATATTTTAGTATAGTAAGTTCTAAATTCTCTATTATTAAATACAATAGTTTCCATATAGAGTACTTGACTGCTCGTTTGTGATCGATTTTCATTCATTTTCAGAAAGTAATTGGTGACTTAAAAACCAGTACTTTGGATATGGTGCTTAGGAGACTATCTACAAACTACATTATGTGTCCTGACCGCCAGTCAGTGTGCCAGGATAACACTACATGTTGCCCAATGTCAGGTGAGATATGGGGTTGTTGCCAACATGCCAATGTAAGTTCCTTTTGGGAAATACCTCGTGTTATTACATTATTGCTCTATCGGTTCACTCATACATAGTATTTTAGAAATCCCCGTAAACGAATCTCTGGTACTCATTTTTTTTGAACAAACATTAAATCTGGTTTAAATCGGGATACTAGTTGTCGTCCCTCCATCATATAAAAACTTGTGTGACAAGCCAACAGCTACTTGAAATTTGGCGAGTCCCACTAACTTTTTCTTTGTTTTATGACTACTTAAGCCTATCCATTAGCAACTTCTTTAAGGGTTCAGTCAGTTTTTTTTATCTTCATAGCCTATAATAAATGCCATAATAGCCATGGGATTGGCGTTTACTAACCTTTATTTATTTATTTAAACACATAAACATTGGTACAAGGAGGCAACAAATATATATGCGCCACACAAACCATTTGATTCCCATGGGGGCCACTCCCCGAGCTAATGAACTAGAGGTATAATCCACAAAGTTAGATGCAGTTCATGGTAGCTGGTGATCAACAATAAGTTCATAAGTCTCTTGTTCCCTCAGGATCCTGGTGCCCATTTGTACCACTAGTTTGGAATGAGGGTTTCCGAACTCCCATATCGTATAACACCTGAACTAAGGATAGGGAGTGAAGTAGTCGAATGCATCAACAACTTCACTTACCTTGGAAGTCTGATCAGCCCTAATGGGTTGGTGTCTGACGAAATCTCAGCATGGATACGAAAAACTCGTTTGGCTCTTGCCAACTTACGTCACCTATGACGAAGGCGAGATATCTGTCTATCAATTAAGGGATGAGCATACTGCGCGGCAGTTCGTTCTGTTCTACTTGACGGCTGGGAAACATGACCGTTAAGGGTAGAGGATACTCGTAAGTTACTAGCACTTTTTCACAGATGTCTTAGAAATATTGCTCACATCTGCTGGAATCACCGGGTAAGTAATGGTAAGGTTGGACGTAGGGTACTAAGGAATGATGATGGTAAATCAGATTGTAAATCTTCATCGACTGGGATGATTGGACCACGTGTTACACATGCCTGGACACCGATTACCATGGCGCGTATTGCTGTTTAGTGTTGGAGGCGGCTGGAAGAAGGTTAAGGGTGGTCAAACCAAAACGTGGTATCAGTCCACAAAATCACTAACTCGTGGTCTGAGCCATGTTGGTAGATGCAGATTACTTGGTTGGGGTCCGCGTGACTATCGTAACTAATGGTTGGAGACTCTTGGTGACATGGTTCAGAATCGATCACAATGACGTAGGTGTATATACTCTTTGTCTTCCCTTAAACCTTGAGACCAAAATTACTTTATATCTGTCTTTCTATAAATCAATTATTTCTCTCCGTATCATATCCTCATAAAAAATCTTTCTTCTACATATTATTACCACTAAAGTAAGTACTTTTATGTATTTGGTGTACATCTTGTTGTGTTAATAAGGTGTGGCAACTTGAACTGATGCATATATGTGCCTGGCTGACTGAGATAATATATGAATTGGAATAACATGAAAATTACAAATTCGTTAGATATATAAGCATGGATAATGGTCTTAGCAACAAAGAAAAAAGATGATGGAAATGAAATTTCAGTTTTAAGAAATTACTATTACAATTTCTAATCTGTTAAATATATCTTTCTAAAGTGAACTTTAAAAAAGTACTCATTACATGCTAAGCGATTAACAATAGCAAAAAAAAAGAATTTCATTGACATATGTTTGAAATTAAAGGAGAATTTTCCTGTAATCTCCATTGGTGTTTCAAGTTAAAATTAAATATTCATATTTTTACACAGTCAATAATAAAGTGGCAGTTATGTGAAATCTAAATAATTTCGAGTTATGCTAGTGTTGTGATTTCTAAGCCAGACAGTTTGATTAAGAAGCTTCTCATTGATGTGCTGACGACGTTATTCATAAGTCGAATGAAAGTTTAACAAACAAACTGTTTACAAGAGAATTAATTTGTTAGATATAATTATTAAAAATAATTCTAGCAACTGATAGAAAACAAACAAAAAAGCCAAGTGCCCGAAATGATAAAGGTAATACATTCAAAAACTATATCACACTTAAAATAACATTACAGAAAATAGGGACCTAGACAAATAACAAACCTGTGTGATATTCAGTACCCGAAATAATGCATGAAGGGACATGATCGTCTGAAGTTCCATCATTATTATTATTGTTGTTTGCATTATGAGTGTTGCTAGGTCTGCCTTTACCACGTTTACTGCGTCGTAAAGCAGGTTCCAAATCTTCAGTGATTGTTTCAACTGGTCGTTCTTCAGTTGTTACATTATCAGTCCGACAAGCATCGTTATTATTATTTTGACTTGTAGCTGAATTTGTTTTAGAACCGTGACTGGACAAAATATCAGGACATTTTGCCGATTGATTATCTGATTTTTCCATAGTACAGGAATGAACAATATCACTTTTTAGTGACAAAGAGAAGTCTTCCATGTTGAAATCACTAGCATTGGTAAGATTATAAGTGAATGACAGAGCCAGATATACTCAAACACATTTAGTGAAAAGTAAATATCTAAAAATGAAAGGAAAACATTTCCACTTATTCAGTAACTAATTTTTTTCAAAAACCAACTTATTTTCCAGGTACCTGTATACGAGTCACACTAAGCTAAATGCTTAATGATACTACTCGGTTGTCCAGTCCGAGGTAGATCAGGCAGCATCCGAACATAGGACTTAGTGAAAGTCAAACACCTCAATTACTACGCGCACTGCTCCACTGGTAATTAATCTAAAATATTGCCAGAAAAGTGGGGTATGTTGCTATAACAGAAGACTTGTTTAGCCCGGCAGCTACACCCATTATTGTTAGAATACGAACTCCACTGAAACTACGTAGTTGAGTCGTGGCAAGTTGTAAAACATTTGTTTTCTTATCAGCAGTTCGTCAAGTTACTAGCAGTTAATACCGAAGTCTATGAGCCTAAAACTAGATGTTTTGACGACAGATATCGCAGTGCGTTTTCTAGATTCGACCGCTCTTATGCAGAGCGAGAATTTGACTAGAACATGACACTAATTACTATGCAAGTTTTGGGAAACATCATCCGGAAATCCATATCACTCGACTCTCCTCATAATGAACCACGTAACTTTATCGGTATGTACGACTGCTACATGTCAACAATATATATAAACGAAAAACAAAATTCACTAGTTTAATGTGATGTAACACGTAAGTTATTATATAAATACTAGGAAATCTTTTAGGATAACAACTGGGTAGTACTGCACATCTCTGACTGAGTCCAAAATGCTACTAACGTGGTCCAAAGAATGGAACTATCCAACAAACTCATAACAAGTTTCCAACAATAAAAACAAATAACCGTGCATCACTACAATGAATTATTGGTGTACAAGGCATGATCTTGATCAATTTGAGTATATCACTCTAAAAGATGATTTTATAGCACAACTTTGTAAAGAATAAACGAAATCCTAAAGTCGATAAATAGGATTGCTGACATGTACTAATCGTTTAAGTTATTCAGTCAGTCAGTAACAACGTAGAACTTCGTACGTACGTACATCAGTTCGAGTTGCCACACCACCTTAGCACAGAGATGCAGTTGTCGACTCAAATCCCGTAGTGGTAGAGGTAGAAAGATTATAAGCAGTAATCGGGAAGATTAGGGTTTGGAGATGTTATTTAAAGAGTATGGTGCGTGACCAATGCATTCAAAACCATAAAGTAATTCTAACAGTTGCTTATGATCCAATGGTTGAAATTCTAATGACTAAATCCCTAAATTATAATCTTGCTAAACTTACTAGAAATTTCTGCCCACACAACCAGTCTACTGAGCACAAGCATACTTGAAAAACGACTCATAGTACTTCATCAATTCGAATTGTGATGAATTTGTTTTGAAGTGCACTGGCCCCCAAATGCCCTGGTACGGTCGAGAGTGGGGAGAGTCCGCTCTCCCTCGCGAAATGCTCTCACATGGCCACGCATATATAGCCTCTGCCAGGGAAGTCCTACTCACTGCCTTCTCGCACTACGGGTGTTGTTTACGAAATTGAGAGGACGAAAAGCGAATGTCTGGCACTTTAACCGGGTTGGTGGACACGGAGAGTTGGAAAACCCTCATTCCAAACCAATGGTGCACATTGACTTCAGTATGCTGAAGGAACAAATGGCGTATGAACCAATTGTTGGTCATTGGCTACCATGGGACTGCATCTCCTTACGATGCTCCACTGCCTTGTGGATCAGACCTTCAAGTAGAAGGCTCCGGGTGTGGCCTCCTATGGAAACCACCTGCTTCCGTTTAGGCACCCGGGCCCTAGCACAGCCCAAACACAATCAAGAGACTTGTGTGACGCACATCTATTCGGTGCCCCTTTGTACCAATATTTGTGTTCAAATAAATAAATAAATTGGAAGTGAACTAGGATTGGAAACCTTGATTTGCAAAACACCCCGACATCAAACTAGTTTGGGTCTAAATGGACCACTAAACTATAACATACAACTTCAGCTGAAACGTTACGAATAGTGACAAACATCATAAGGTTGTACAATAAGCAGGTACATCACATATTCATTAGCTTACATTATGTATTGATACCACAAAATATTACACTGTGTGAGTAATTAGATAATCAGTCCTACATATAGTTGGATTTAAGGACGCTAACTGGGGTGAACGTTGCTGAAAAGTTAATGACGCGTCATTGGTAGGCGAATCTAGAAATTTGGGTAAGACGATTTTTAAAAAATACTAAAACTTGGTAATTTCGCCCTTATTTTAGGAGGAATGTGGACTCCATGGGGCTTCCCGATCTATTAATAATTCCAAGAATAAGTATTGAGAAATTTCCGATTCCATTTGTAACACGACTTAAAAATTACTCATTCTCTTAAAAGCGTCAAACTGAGTGGCTAGGTAAGGCTTTTGTGGACAAAGGTTTTAAGACGTTTATTACTGTTTAAGACCACTAATTAGA